GACTGAGAGGGGCAGACTGTCAGACCCTGCTGCAGTAACATGAGAGGTTTTCTAAAGGGACTCTGGTGCTCAGAGACACTACCACTTTAGTCCACAGGGGGCGACAGAACCAACAGGAAATGAAAGTTCCTCACAGTAGCTTTAAATACATTTTATCAACCATCTAGCATCTTATTTCCAGTCAGACCTGTTTCAGTTCATGATCCGCTAACCATCCGTTAAACCTGAATGACGTATTTGTTTTATTGCTGATCCGTTTGTTCTCTGTCCACAGGAGAGACTCTGACTGAGGAAGTAGACCTTCAGCTCCCCGGGGACGTGATTGTTGGATCAGCCCGTGCTTCAGTATCAGTCCTGGGTAAACTAATGAATCCATTTTGGTTGAGTTTTGCTGTTAACTAAACAAATCGTTTTACTTTCAAATGATCAACTTGAGATTTAAAACGAGCGAAGAGATTCTTTCAGTAGATGCATTTAAAAAACAGCTTTGTGTTGTTTTTATCAGAGCTAAACAGAAAACACAATCCTATTTAATAAACTGGAGGAAATAATGCAAATATGAACATTTTAATGAAACGGTACCAAACTGAATGAAATGAAAAGTGCATTTATAATAAGCTTCATTCTGGCAAGATTACAACATATGTGTTACACTTTGATTATCTGTGTCTTTAGTAAACCAGAGCTCAGGTCAGTCACATGTTCGGTCTTATGCCGTGTTCAGTCGCCGGGGACCATTTCAGGTCATTCGCGTGAATCGCGTCGGAAAGGGGGCGTGGCTTATCGCCCTGGAAGCAGTTCAAATGTCCGCCATTTATTTCCGCCATCAATCATGGAGAAAATAACCTATTTCTGCTTAGTACTTGTTGTGGAAGTCCCAAATATCCCGCGACTCTAAACGCCGTCTTGTCTGGTTCATAACATAGTCCGGAGGAGCTCCGGGATTTTATCGAGTTGTATTCACTGCGTCTAGCAAGCCACACGTCGGCTGGTTTACTACAGCTGTATCAGCACAAAACAAACTGATTTTGCTGTGATTGCAATAAACAGCCAAAAAGGATGCTGGAATAACTACGTAATGATGCCGATTTGTAAAAAGTCTGAATTCATGTTTTCTTAGTTCTCTACGCAAGACGACAAGCAAATAACTTTTAAAATACTTGTTTTCTCAATGGAGCTCGGATCGACCGGTGCTAAGCTAAGCTAACATTGTAGCAGCTCCATCAACACTCAATATAACGTCATCTCGGCATAAACACGGCAGCGTCTTTTTCATTGTTTGTACCATATGGTTTATACACATACATTTATACACAGTTTTGTCCGGTCTCTGCTAATATGAGGTATCGTTTTTGTGTGTGTGCAGGTGACATTCTGGGCCGAGCCCTGAACAACCTGGATGGGCTGCTGAGGATGCCGTACGGATGTGGGGAGCAGAACATGGCGCTCCTCGCCCCCAACATCTACATCCTCCAGTACCTGAGAAACACTCAGCAGCTCACCTCCGCCATCAAAAACAAGGCCATCAAGTTCCTGACCAGCGGTGAGTCTAGCAAAATAACAAAATGCATTTAAGACCTTAAATTATGAGAAATGTACCCACAGTCTGGTGCTGGATGCACCCTGGTGGTGACCTTTGTTTGCCTCCTTTCTTTCCCCCTGATTTCCTGTCATCAAAGCGTACAAGACTTCTTACAGACATTTACTTTAAATCATGAACTCAATAAATATCAATGTGTGTGATGCAGGCTACCAGAGACAGCTGAACTACAAGCACCGTGATGGAGCTTACAGCACGTTTGGATCAGGACCGGGGAACACCTGGTGAGAACAGTGATGATGTCATACAGTTTAGCTTTTCAGGGCTTGACATTAACCCTCTGAACCCCAAAACAAAAGCATATTTTCTTTAAGCAATCACTGATACTACAG